AAGAAGTTATATGCAAAGTTAAGTAAGTGTGGATTCTGGCTTGAGCATACCTCCTTCCTAGGACACATCATATCGAAGGAATGAGTATAAGTGAATCCCGAAAAGGTTGAAGCAGTACTTGGCTGGGAGAAGTTGACATCAGTTAAGGAAATCCGGAGTTTCCTAGGGATGGCAGGTTATTACCGCAGGTTTGTTGAAGGTTCTCCAGCCTAGCAGCTCCTCTAACCCGACTCACAAAGAAGAATGCTAAATTTGAGTGGAATGGGGACTGCGAAAGAAGTTTTTCAGAATTAAAGAAGTGGCTGACTACTGCACCCGTACTGGTTTTACCGAGTGGATCGGGGGGATATACAGTTTATAGTGATGCCTCCTATTTAGGCCTGGATTGTGTCCTGATGCAGCATGGAAAGGTCATAGCATATGGGTCCAAGCAGTTAAAGAATCATGAGAAGAATTATCCCACCCATGACTTGGAGTTTGCCGCAGTCATACACGTCTTGAAAACTTGGCGCCACTACTTATACAGAGAGACCTTTCATATATATACCGATCATAAGAGTTTGAAACACATATTCACTCAGAAGGATCTCAACATGCATCAGAGAAGGTGGATGGAACTCCTTAAAGACTATGATTGTGATATCTTATACCATCCAGGTAAGGACAACGTGGTAGCAGATGCTCTCAGCAGGAAAAATGCAGGTATCTTAGCCCATTTGATGGTTTCAGAATGCAGGCAAATTAGGACCACACAACAGATTCGACTTCAGGACTTGAGGAGAGTCACATGTTTGGGCCGCCTGACAGTCCAGCCCGAGTTAATCTAGAGAATAAGGAAAGCCCAGTCAGTCGACCCCGCCCTGGTAGCCCACAAGAAGGATGCAGAACAGGGAGTGAGCTTAGAATTCCGAATCTCTGCCGATGGATTACTCCGTTTCCAAGACAGGGTGTGTGTCCCAGATGACAGTGAGTTAAAGAGAGACATCATGACAGAGTCCCATAGCTCGAAGTTTGTCATGCATCCAGGAAGCACCAAAATGTACCAAGGCATATGGCCCCGGTTTTGGTGGAATGGGATGAAGAGAGACATAGCCGACTTTATATCCAAGTGCTTGGTATGTCAACAGGTCAAGGCAGAGCATCAGCGCCCAGATGGGCTACTTCAGCCGTTACCGATTCCGGAGTAGAAGTGGGAACACATCACCATGGACTTCGTAACGGGATTACTCAAGGCACGTTCAGGACATGACGCCATCTGGGTAATCATTGACCGATTTACCAAATCTTCCCACTTCTTGGCCATCAGAATGACCGACCACTTGGACAGTTGGCAAGAATGTATATCCGAAAAATAGTCAGATTGCACGCAGTTCCAGTAACAGTGGTATCCGACAGGGACCCCAGGTTCACTTCTCAGTTTTGGAGTAGCTTTCAGCAAGCTATGGGAAGAAAGCTGTCTCTCAGTACTGCCTTCCATTCTCAAACTGATGGACAATCAGAAAGGACAATTCGTACACTTGAGGATATGCTCCGAGAATGTGTCCTTGACTCCGGGGGTCATTGGGACGACCATCTACCCCTGATAGAGTTTGCCTACAACAACAGCTACCAAGCAAGCATCGGCATGGCTCCATATGAGGCGTTATATGGTGCTTGTGCAGATCACCGATTTGTTGGGAAGAAGGGGGCGATAGAAGATTGTTCGGCCTAGAGTTGGTAGAGGAGACCACGTCTAAAATAGTTAAAATCAGAAAGAACATTCAGACGGCTCAGAGCAGACAAAAGAGTTATGCGGACACCCGAATGAGAGATCTAGCATTTGAGAAAGGTGACCGGGTGTTCCTTAAGGTCACTCCTTTCAAGGGAATTAGTAGGTTCGACAGGAGAAAAAAATTGAACCCCCGATTTATTGAACCTTTTGAAATCTTAGACAGGATTGGTACTACTGCCTACAGACTAGCACTGCCTCCAGAACTCTCCAATGTCCACAATGTGTTCCACATATCCATGTTACATAAGTACAACCCGGACCCCTATCATGTCTTAGCTCATGAACTGCTTCCACTCCAAGAGGACTTATCTTATGAAGAAGTATCAGTCGGTATCACGGACCGAAAGAGCAGGATACTCCGCAACCGGGAAATATCATTTGTAAAGGTCGTGTGGCAGAACCACACGCCAAGGGAGGCTACCTGGGAGCTAAAATCAGATTTTAGAGCCCAGTATCCCCATTTATTCGACCAAGAGTAAGAGGCAAATTTGGGGAACTAAATTTCTTTAAAGGGGGGAGAGTTGTAACACCCAAATTTTTATTATTTTTATTTTTTAATTTATTTTAATTTATATTAGAATTTTAGTTTAATTTTTTAATATTTAATTTATAAGATTTTAATTTAATTTCACAAAAATAAAAATAATAATAATGATAAAATAGGATAAAATTATTTTTGGGATTTAATTGAAATTGATTTTGGGAAAAATGGTGAAAATGTGAATTATGGGGGTGTTTTTGAAAAGAAAATCAAAAATCGGGGGTCAAAAGACAATTTAAGAAAGTTGTGCCACGTCAGTAGCCCAGTCAGCAGCTCTAGCCAACCAGAACATGCCGCGTGGCAAGGAAGCTGACGCGAGATGTAAAGGCCCCGGAAATTTAAAATGAAATATGTGTATTGGAAATATCAAATGCGGAAGCGAAGTCAAAAATTCGATTAACATCCCTTACACTAAAACCAAAAACGTGCTCACAAAATATAAAAGATCAAACTAACTAAAGGAGAAACTCGAAAGTAAAAGCTATGAATATGACTATGGAGTCTTTAGGCATCCGCTTCGTCGTCCTCCTGCGGAACGGGCTCGGGAACAATGTCTTCCTGATCTGAAATGATTAAATAAGGAATGAGCTACACTAGCCCAGTAAAGACATCACGATATCTCACAGTCACGGAGGTAAAGGTGGGTAGAAAATACAAAAAGACCAATGGAGCATAATTTACAACAAATCCTTTTATCCATAATAAATCCTTTACCATCTATTTACCTCGGTGAAATTCATAAGACAATATACGAAAGCAATAACATTATCATCATCATGAAATCATATAAACTGTATAATATAATACTCATCACGCCTTTTGTAATTCAATCATTACACAACATATTTTCCTCATTTACCAGCCCACTAGTATCTATGAGGATCCATAGTGGTCCCGCTATCCGTTAACCCTTAACACTTAAAATCAGATTACAGGGCCGTCCCCATACCCCGTCCGGTATGGGCGCCAAAACTATAGACCTCATTACCCCGTTCGGTATGAGGGTGAAACGGGTCGTCTCTATACCCCGTCTGGTATGAGCGTTAAAACACATAAGGTCTCCATACCCCGTCCGGTATGAGAGACTACAATCCCTGTAGGGTTCCCTACGGACCCGGTCAGTCCACCATCTCCCAGGATATCTAGTCAGGCTGACCACATTATACAATTATCAATTTACATAATCTTTCATTCTCCTTTTCCTCAGTCAGCATCATCAATTTACATACAAACAAGCAAACAGTAATTTTATGTCAAACAAGAAAACATACAGCATCGGTTTCTCAGTCATTCAACCCATAATCAATAAAACAGTAAAATATGCACGCGAAACAATGAAATGAAAACATCAGACCTCATACTGCATTTAAAACTGTAAAATATGCCAAATACAGTTAACCGACAAACACACTAGACTCGGACTCCATTAGCGACCTTAAGCAATTTCACACATTCGTTGATTCAAGAAATACCGTTTTATCATTTCTGAACTTTAATACCGTGATAGGAAATAGGGCGAGGGGTCCTTACTCGTTTCGAGGTCCGAACACGGCTTCACAGTGCGCCTACAGGCTATCCC